CGAAAAATAAATCGTGAAAACTTTTGACAAACTTAACGCAAAGAGCATAAGACGTGCTCTCCGGTCTGTTAAACTACGATCTGGTTCCACTATCTATAAAAATAAACCTTTTTGTTATTTAATGTATCTTTTTTATTGAAGATTCTTGAATTGGGGAGTTTTGTGGAGTATTGTTGAAGATGCTTGCAGCACGCACTGTCTAAGTATCTCGCTTAATTGAATGGTTAGTTGATCATAGATTTCATTTAGACAAGAGACATGATTTAACGTTGTGATTGCGGGCTCGTTTTTGCAGTTGTTGGGTGTAAAGCAAGAATTAAAACTATAATTGTGCTTGAAAAAGTAATCAATTATAGGGGTTGAGATTTGTTGTTTTGTTGATGAGTGCTTGTTGCGGTATAGTAATCTTTTGTCAATGTCTTTGCATTGCAATATCTTATCTGCAAAGGAATAGATAAAAGAACGTTTTTCACATAGAGCGGGAAAAATTTTTTTCTATTTTTTTTTTCTACTTTGGCTAGTCTTACTTGGTAAATTTTATTTTCCGGCTGTCAAAGGCTTTCTTCAGTTTACTCTGGACGTTATATTTTTTGGAACTTTTGACAGAATATAGTTTTAGCTGTTTCCTTTTTCCTAAAATTTTAAAATTCTTGGGATTCGAAGGTCAAAGCTCTATACTACTTTTTTGGCTTAAAAGCAGATTCATTTTTGGTTCCGTCTTGCAAGCGGAAAACGTTGCGTAACGGGTTTAGCATTACTTTCAGCATTCAAAAGCGCTTGTTTTGTTGTTTCATGCGTCATTTTAGAGATAAGAAAAACGTGACTCGAAGATAGTGACGAGTTTTTCCACTTGTCAACTGAATTTTAGGAGACCTGACGCTTTTGCATGTAGGAACGTATGCTTCATCAGCTCATTTACCGTTAGCTCTATTTTTTTGCCTTCACCACTTCCAGGAATGCATGCAGGTTCTAAGGTTCTGCTTGTGACAGTAGTTTTCCACCTTGCTTAAAAAACTAGCTGAATTGGTTATTGTATTACATACCTAACCAGTTATTGTAAGCACTCATATGTCAACTCGATTGCGTAGATTCTTTGAGTTTTTACAGTAATTATATTGTCGTGCATAATAAACTTGTATAGCTCTAATAGAGGTGACGTTCAGTTTTTTGAGTTGACAGTAGGGAAACAGTGTAATTTTGTTTCACAAATGTTTTCATTGGTTTTTTTTAAAACTATGGATGCGGTTTGATGTATTACGTGTGCTGCTTTAGAGGTATAGTCAGCCGTAAACAGCGGATTCGGTTATATTATTGAAGACAGTAAGAGCTTCTCCAGTATAACGTTTCGTTTCGAAGTTTCCAGCATTTTTTTCGGCATGTCATCAGTTTGATAACTGTCTTTCAGGTGTTCATATACATCGCATATTCGAAACACTGATCCAAAGTTGGATTACGGTACGTTTCAGGTGAAAATTCAATTTAACTCAAATTCCAGAGCGTAGTACAAGGCTAAGAAAACTCCCAAATGGGTAAGTCGCTGTAAAATATCAAATTGAGAAAGGGCAAGGAGAGGAACTGGGATTTGTTGAGATGATGCAGTGGTGTAAAACCGTATTTAAGAACGTCTGTAGGGGGAGGTGTTTGACTGAATAGACAGTAAAGATGCTATTTGATTCACAGAGCAAGCATCGTAACTGAGGAGAGTTTTCAGGAATTAATAAGTTTAAAAATGGTTGTCAGTGGTTCTAGTTAGCAAAAATTAATGGAATTTAGAATGCGCTTATTTAGTTTGTTGTTTGCTCGTTTATTCCTGTCACAGAGTTGACGCGCTTGCGTTTTTTTAGAATTACCTGTTACATGTTTTCTGCGAAATATTTTTTTTCTACCTTTGTTCTTAACTTCTCTTCATTTCCTCAAATTAGTTTTTATAAACGCATTTTAAAGGACATGGATATATCGTTGATACGAAGGACTTGCTGGAAACGATACAAGAGATGGGGTACGACATGTCGACCGAGGAGCTTCCAGTGTTCAGGAAGGGTATGCTAGTTCATCATATATTACCGGGCAACTTGTAATCTATGACGTACTTTTTTTGTTTGGAAAAGGGTTTATTGAGATTTATAATCAAAGTAAGATTTGTTTCTGAAGTCTTGAAGAAGAGGTGCAATAGGAGAATTCAAATTTGGCAGTAATTTAATGTGTTTTTTTTGCGTGCGGTGTAGTGCATTAAGCTTTAGTAGTTATGGGGACAGTTGAAATGAGTGTAGTGAGGAAGTGTCTCAAGTAAATTGCAAGATGATTATGAGTCAAGTAACTTCAGACGGCAGAGAGAAGTTGTTGCACTAACAGTTTTAACTCGTGATTGGAGTTAAGCCTCAAAAGCATTTTATTTTCAATTACTGTTTTTTTTTTCTTTCGCTGGAATTACATTACAAGTCTTGTTTCCTAAAATTTCTATTTACGCTTTAGAAAGGTGGTTGGTTTGATAATGGAACTCTGTTAGTATCTTTTGTTTACTGGTTTTTTTTTACGTGACTCATCATGTTTTTGTATGTTTTAGAGTTTGAAAAATACTTGGAAAACGAAATTGCCCGGGGTGATGATCAAAAAAGTGTGTCTTTCTTGACGTATAATAACAGCCTTCAAGAAAAACGTTTCTTGCTGCTCAACGGCGAAGCTTCATCTCATGGTATCATATCAAATTTTTCCGCTAAGAAAGCCTATTTAGAGGAGGTGTTTTGGAACGGTTTACATTTAGGTTTTTTGGGTAGCAACAGTAGAGCTAGCCGAAAATTTTTGAAAAACTTTCTTAAAAATCGAGATGTTAGTCATGTTCGACATCAAGGACTTGACGTTGAGTCGGATTCCTCTTCTTCTGATGTAAGTTGTTTTTCATATCAAATATTGACGCGAGCAATAAAAAACAGGAAATTTTATGTGATTGGTGCTGTACAATAACCAAAGAATTTTACAGTTTTCCAACTTTTGTTGAGGGTAATGCATGCATGGGAAGGGTTGAAAAGTATATGGGATTACTGCATACCGTTAGAGTTCTACTTCTTTTGATGTTGGATTAAAGTTGGGTGGATTTAGTATTGCATTTTTGATTTTAAGGACTGAAATAATGTTTTTGTTGCATATGACTGTTCTGTTGTATTGGTTTTCAAAAAATTTTCTAAATTGTAGAGTTTACTGTGATTCAGTTGTGATAAACAGAAGTGTCAGTGATATTTTGAGGTTATGTAGCTTGTTCTTTCTGTGACTGAATACGTGAGGCTTATTATAAATTTAAAGTAAAAATCACTTTAAGCTAACTCGCCGAGTCTTAATTTCAGTAGTGTTCAAATTCAGTTTTAATAAAATGTCATTTTCAGGCCAGTAAGCATTTAGATGACTCAAGTTCAGATCAGATATATTCTGTTTATCAGCTTCTTGAAAGGATTAGAGATGAAAACGCCCGCTTAGCGTCACTGGTTTGTTAATTTTTTACTTTTTATTTCTTTATTTAAGGGCAATTTTGGGAGTACTTTGAAAGTTTTTTTGTAAGCGGCATACTATCTTTAGGCTCGGTGACTAATATTTTTT